TATTGTTTTCAAGCAGTTTGGGGCACTGTTGGAGCCACTGGGCGACCGCGTCGAGCTTCCGACCCTCGCAGATGATCGCATTGAGCAACGTCGGCCGTCTCTGGGAGCCTTGAATATAGCCGGCGATGAACATTGGAAGGGTCAAGTGTTGAACCTTTCGCATCGTGAAATCGTCGTGACTTTGGCCCTTCTTACCGTCACGAGTGCGGTTTCTTTCCATGCTTCCGTCGGCCAACAACGCTGACCGCCACCCTCGTTGGCCTCGAGATGTCCTGTTCACATCGGCATGCATCTGGAACTCACCTGGGCCCTTGTGGCCCTCCTGGGGCTCTCTTAAGCGCCTCCTCGGGCGGTGATGGGGTCCTGTTGGGCCTCTGGGGCTCTCTTGGACAGTCTTGAGATCCGTTTGGGGCGTCGTGTCGAGGGACCTCATGGGGGCCTGTTGGGTTGTTTGTCGGCGATATGAAAGGCCTCTGGGATCACATTGGAACCTCTCGGGTTATGGCGCGAATTTCAAGCCGCGCTCAGCCGCGCCAAAGAGCACCGCCCTATGGAGCCAGACAGAATAACGACAACGGAGGGGCATCGGCGTCGGCGTCGTCGTGCCGTCTTCCCCTTGGGAGATGCCGCGGGAATGATCAAATCCTGCCCCCGCTGCTCCTCGCCCCCCCCCCGCCCGCCCCCCTTTCCCGCCCCCTGCAACTGGGCGGCCCTTGGGGGTGCTCACCGCGAAGCGAAAGCGGCGCAAGCGCGGGGCGGAACTGGACCGCCTCGACAAAATGCCCGGCCAGACTGCCCGACAAAGTGCCCGACAAAATGCCCGACAAAATCGCAGGGGCAAGCGCCGTAGCTGTGAATTTACAGTACATCCGCCCAGCCGCCGATGCCAAACATAATTTTGTCGCTGCACTTTTTTGAACATTTTGTCACGACGACCGGTTTTTTTGTCGGGCCAGTGCTTTTTTTTTGTCGGACCATTTTGTCGGGGCTTCTGTTTTTTTTTGTCGGCCCATTTTGTCGGGGCCAATTTTTTTTGTCGGGCAAGTTTTTTGTCGGTCCACGTGTTGTTTTTTGTCGGCCCGCCTGCTTTCTTTTTGTCGTCGGCTCCTTGCGGGCAACGCCCCCGGTGCAAAGCGGGGGGAAGAATGCGGGCGGCGAGGAGGGGCAGGGGGAGCGCATGCGCACGGCGCAGGAGGAGCAGGAGGAGGAACGGAGGAACGGGAGGAGCAAACAGACTCCAAGAGAACCCAACAAAAATCTCGCAGGCCCGAAAAGGCCCCAACACCGCCCAAAAACGCACCTAAGAGCGCCCCAGAGGGCCCCAGGGGCCAAAGAGAACCCAAAAGGCCGATGTGGCCAGGCATCTCGATGCCAACGAGGGTGGCGGTCAGGGTTGTTGGTCGACGGAAACGCGGAAGACAACCATATTCATCACGCTAACCTGATATTGCCACGAAGCCCGACCTTGGGGGACAAATGGGGGCTCCTGCGATGCGGGCTCGGCACGTGACCGTGCGAGCCACTCTGGGGGGACGCGTGGCTTGCGAGCAAGTGAATTGCAAAGAAAGCATGCGTGCGGACCACTAGTTTTGAAAGGTCCGCGCGTTGCAGGTGAGATGCCAAGGCGGCACCTGACGTTGGTTCCCGCGTTGTCCGTTTGAGGTGGTGACGCTTTGTCGGGATGTCTCCAGACATCCTGGGGTCCTCTGGCGCAGTGTTGGGGCCCTCTTGAGAGAATATGGGGGCCTCCTGGTCGTGGGATGAACGCTGGTTTCCGTGTTGTCCGTTTGGCGGCGTCTCCAACCATCTTGGGGCCCTTTTGGGCAGTCTTGGGGCCCTGTTGGAGACGGCTGGGGGTTTCCCGGAGGCCTGTTCCAGGCTCGTTGGGGTCTCTTGAAAGCCTATCGGGGGTCTCCTGGGGGCCGGTTGGGGCCTCCTGGGTTTTTTTTCGGGCTGGAGAACTCAAAATCTAAGTCCCTGTCGCCTCTCTGAAATTTTCTTATGCGTTCCTGAAGCTTTCGGAGGCCGTCTTGGAGGCCTCTGGGGCCGTCTCGAGAGCGCGTCGGACTGGTCTGGGCGCTCTCTTGGGGCCCTCTCAGGCCGTCTTGGGGCGGTCTTCGGGGCCTCTTGCGCCGCCCCGGAGCGTCGGGGAGCCGAGGGCGCCGAAACCCGAAAAACAGGTGTAAAACCAACGAAAACCAAAACATTTTGACACGTGGGGCTCTCTGGGAGGGCCTCTCGGACGCCTCCCGAGGCCCCGGGGAGCGCCGAGGGCCGTCTGGACGCGATGTTGGGCGCCTCCTGGGGGCTCGCGGGGCCTCCGGGGGGTCTTTTTGCGCGGTGAGCTTGAGATGTAGGTTCCTGCCCTTCTTCTAGAAGTTTTCTAGGGGCATTCCTGGAGCCTTCGGAGGCAGTTTTGGAAGCGTTTTGGGCCGTCTTGAGAGCGTGTTGGACTGTCTGGGCGCTCTGTTGGAGGCTTCTTAGGCCGTTCTGGGGCGGTCTTTGGGCCTTTTTGGGCTCTTTTGGAGCGTCGGCAAGCCGAAAACGTGGAAACCCGAGAAACTCTCAAAAACCCACCGAAAACCAATACACGTCGACACTGGGGCGCTCCGGGGGGGCCTCTCGGAGGCCTCCCGAGGCGTCCTGGGAGCTCCCTGGGCCGTCTGGACGCGATGTTCGGTGCCTGCTGGAGGCCGCGTGGGGCCTCCGAGGGGGTCTTTTTGGGCGGTGAGCTTGAAATGCCGTTTGCTGCCTCTGCTCTGGAGGTCTTTTTGGGCCATTCCTGGAGCCTTCGGAGGCCGTCGTGGGGGCCTCTTGGGCCGTCATGAAGGCGTCTTGGACTGCCTGGCCGCCTTCTCGGGGGCCTCTGAGGCCGTCTTTGGGCGGTTTTGGGGCCCTCTTGGGCTGTCTTGGTGCGTCGGCAAGCCGAAGACGCGAAAACCCGGAAAACTTCAAAAAACCCAAAGAAAGCCCATGCATGTTGACACCGGGAACTCTCTGGGAGGGCCACTCGGAAGCCTCCCGAAGCGTCCTGTTAGCTCCCTGGGCCACCCGGGCGCGATATTGGACGGCCTGGATCGACCTGATGGCGACTCGTGGCCCTCTCGGAACATTTTGCCGACCACCTTGGGGCCGCCCGTGCCGCGCGGAAGCGTGTCTGCCGAAATGGGGCCGTCTTCCGCCGTCTTCCGCCTGCTTCCGCCGGCGCCCCTCCTGTGGCCGGGAGGGGGTCCCGGGCCCCCCCCCGAGACGGCCTTCGAGGGCTCCAGGAAGTCCCCCAGAAAGCTTCTAGAAGAGGGCAGGAACCTACATCTCAAACTCACCGCACAAAAGGACCCCCCCGAGGCCCCGCAAGGCCCCCAGGAGGCGCCAAACATCGCGCGCAGACGGCCCTCGGCGCTCCCAGGACGCCTCGGGAGGCCTCCGAGAGGCCCTCCCAGAGGAGAGCCCCACGTGTCAAAATGTTTTGGTTTTCGCTGGTGTTCTAAATGTCTTTCGAGTTTCGGCGCCCTCGGCTCCCCAACGTTCCGGGACGGCGCAAGAGGTCCCGAAGACCGCCCCAAGACGTCCTGAGAGGCCCCCAAGAGAGCGCCCAGACCAGTCCAACACGCTCTCGAGACGGCCCAAGAGGCCTCCAAGACTGCTTCCGAAAGCTTCAGGAATGCTTAGGAACATTTCAGAGAGGCGGCAGGGGCTTACACTTTGGGCTCTCCAGCCCAAAAGAGACCCAGGAGGCCCCAACCGGCCCCCATGAGAACCCCGAGAGGCTTTCAAGAGACCCCAACGAACCGGCCTGGAACAGGCCTCCGGGAAGCCCCCAGCCGTCCCCAACAGGGCCCCAAGACTGCCCAAGAGGGCCCCAAGATAGTTGGAGACGCCGCCAAACGGACAACACGGGAACCAGCGTTCATCCCACGACCAGGAGGCCCCCAGATTCTCTCAAGAGGGCCCCAACACTGCGCCAGAGGACCCCAGGATGCCTGGAGACATCCCGACAAAGCGTCACCACCTCAAACGGACAACGCGGGAACCAACGCCAGGTGCCGTCTTGGCATCTCACCTGCAACGCACGGACCTTTCAAAACTAGTGGTCCGCATGCACGCTTTTCTTTGCAGTTCACTTGCTCGCAAGCCACGCGTCCCCCCACAGTGGCTCGCATGGTCGCGTGCTGAGCCCACATCGCAGGAGCCCCCATTTGTCCTCCAAGATCGGGCTTCGTGGTAATATCAGGTGTTTGTTTCGGCCTAGCGCTTGTTTGCGCGACCTTCAGCGGTTAGTGAAGTTACGCTTGCCTTGATTGCCGCCGTCGCATTGCTATTTGCCCGGACTTTTGTTTTAATGTTTCGCCCTTGCGAATTGTATTGTTTTTCCTGGTCGTGTTCGCATCGTCGTTCTTCGCGGTCGACTTGTTTTCGACTTCGTTCGTGCCAACCGTGCTGCTCGCACCTTTCTCGGAGTAGCCTACTTGGGCATGAAGCATCGCGCGGGCTCGCATGCTTTCGCAATCAGATAGTTGCGCCTCTACCAACGCTACGCCATTCATTTTTAGTTGAAATCGTTTATTTTGTTGATTGGCGTTTTGTCGCCGAAAGCTTCGCCAGTATAATGTCACTACTGAGTTCTGAAGCGAAGTGTTCAGCGGCGTCCCCCTTTCGAAGAAGGACCGCTCCCCAGACGTGCAACTCTTGCACAGTCGCTCTGTGATCATGAACCTCGGAGAGGTCTCACGCGGCAGCTTCACTTTGAAACAACCTGCCGCCCTGGAGCCGTGCAGCGCTGGGTGTGTTGAAGCTCCGGGGTTTTAGCCAGAGGCTCCAGCGAGAGAGCCGCACTTTCAAACCGAACGGTCTTCAGTCCTCACGGGAGCCCCATTTTGAAGACGACCTGGGCACGCCAAGTGAAATTGCCGCAGATATGTGCCACGCATGTGCGCAGCGGCCCTGAGGCGAGAGCGCCAGTTCGAAAAGGAGTCGCCCTCCATCCACGAATCTATTGCAGCATGTTCCAGCGAGTGCCCGCGGCGCCTAGGCGAGAGCACCATTGTGAAAAGGACCCCATTTCCATACTTGAAAGTAAGGTGGGCTTTAGAGATTGATGTGCGTGGTGCTCACGCGATAACCACATTTTGTGCACTGCACCCCTGGATCCCTGAATATGTTGCAAACTTTTAAAACGAATCTGCGCGGCACAAAAGGGAGAGCCGCAATTGGACATTGCTGACAACGGCACCCTTCCATAGTTGAAGTTTCGGACGAGTGTGTGCGGCGCTACGGCGAGAACCATAGTTTGAGCACCACCCGTCCTCCATCTTTAATCCTGTTGCAAACTTCTGAAGCGAATATGCGCAGGGCTGAGACGAGAGCCACACTTTGAAAAGGAACCGCCCTCTTTTCTGGAAGCGGTTGCGAGCTTTCACGACGAATGCCTAATTTGGAAAACCAACCCTTCTCCATCAGTGTAGCACTTTGTGTAAGCGAATGAGTACTGCGCGAAGGCGTGAACAACACTTTGAAAACCACGCGCCCTCCATCCTTGAGTCTGTTGCGAACTTTCAAGACCAACGTGCGCGGCGCAAAGGCGAGAGATCCGTTTTTTGAAAGCCGCCCCCTCCTGTTTTGAAGCTGATTCAAACTTCTAAGACGAGTGTGCGCGGTGCTCATGCAAAAGCTCCGTTTTCAAAAGCACCCGCCCTCCATCACTGAGCTTGTTGCACATGTTACACTTCAGGGGTATAGGTGTTGAGGAAGTCTCAGGCGACCGACCCCTCCCGGCCCGCCCAATCGACGCTTCTGGGGGGCGACAGGGAGGATCTGCGTACTTATCGCAGGCACCTGTGACGAATCACCGCCGCCCCCTGCCTTTCAGTATATGCGTATGTGGCCAAACATTCGGGCAATATTTGGCCACGCTATTGGACCATCCATTCCCCGAGCCGTTGTTGACGCCCTTCGGGGAACATGCGGGGGAGGAGGAGGAGGAGGAGGAGGAGGAGGAGGAGGAGGAGGAGGAGAGGAAGAGAACAGGAGGATGAGGATATGGATGAGGAAACCTCTTGGGAGCTTGTTGGGCAATTCTTTGGGCCTCGTGGGAGCCTCTTAGATCGGGTCTAGCCAGGACCCCGGGTAAGGGGATCCGGTTAGTCGTAGGGCCCTGGGGCCCCTCAATTGGCCAGATTCACTAAACCAGGTTTGCCCTAACTGGTGTTTTTCGGGTGACGGCAGTTCGGGTTAGCGGACATGGGGCGGGGGGGGCGCCCCCGCTACAAATATCTAAACCAGGTTCCACTAAACCCAGTTCTGCCAACGCCCGATTAGAGTCCTCTTGGGGGCCTCCTTGGGCCTCTGGGTGGCCTTTGGGGGCTTCTTGGAGTCTCTTTGGCCCCCGTATGACGTTTCTGGCCCGTCTCACGCCGTCGGAAGCCGTTTTGGGAGCCTATTTTTGCCGTCTTGGGGCCTTCTTGGGGCGTGTCAGGGTCGTTTTGAAAGCCATTTTGGGCGTCTTGGAGGCCTCTTGGCCTGTCTTGGGGCCATTCGGCCGTCGTGGGAGTGTCTTGGGGCTCTTTTGGCCCGTCTTGGGGCCCTCTTTGGCTCCAAAAGTCACGCGGGACGATGCTGGGAACGCCAGCGTGCACGCGCCAAGCCCAAGAAGATTCGGCAATTCCGGTCCGGGCCCCTGGGAGACTCCTCAGGAGTGAGGATTGTGGCTTAGAAGATTGGGGATAGGACCTGAGGGCACGCCCACTCCGTGCCGAAGGGCACAGTGGCGGATCAGGACAAGGGATGCAGGAGAGTGGAGGCGGAGTAGCAGTAAGAGCAGGAGCAGCATCAAGGAGGATTGGCATCGAACGGGGGATCCAGCACCAGCCGGCAGGAACAGGAGGGAGCAGGGGCAGGAGGCGAGGGAGGAGACGAGTGCAGTGGGCTGCAGGGGCGGCACGGCAACGCCCTTTTCTGGAGCACTGGCCCTCGAGCTAGCCTCTTCAAGCAGGACAGCCGAGCAGATCGGGCGACCTCGGCTTGAAACAAAAGTCTTTCTGAGCATATTCCTAGGTCTCTTACGGTTGACGATTCTTCCATGGGTCCAACTTTTGCAGCCACGCCTCAGGGGCACCACCTCGGCTCATGGATGATGTTGGACTCCTTTCGCTCCAGCGCGCTCCGGAGAATGGTGTTGCCCATATTGTTCCGTGCCTGTTCCAAACGGAAGTCTCGGTCTGCACGTGACGATGTTTCTGCTCTCTACGCCACGGTGCTTGTGGAGGAGCGCGATCCGCGCTGGGACATCGCTGGCTTTGATGAGATCTTCGAGAAGTGCGACATCGCATGGGTTCGGGTTGCGTACCTCCGGCAGGCGGTGAAGGCGCAGCGCCGAATACCGAATCGGCGGAACATAGTGTCAGACGCATACGGAACTCAAGACGCGCTGCACTTTGGCGCGCCTCCACTCAAAACTCAATTGTACTGTCTTGAATACAGGTGGTTCAGTAGGCTTGACCATGATCCAGATGGAACACAGGCCAGGCTTCTTGTCGAGGCTCTGGACGGAGATGACGCGCTTGACGACGACCTGGTACTGTACGATTGGCTGAGCGTTTGGATGCTTTCTGGCAGTGACATGGACTGGTTTAGGCAGGCCCAAAATCAAGTATGGATTCGGTTCGCAAGCACCCATTTTCGCATAATGACAACTGTGTTGCCTGTTGCGCCGATGCCCGACGAAAGCCGTGGGGACTAATTTACCTCGGTATTTTACCTTCACCCAGCGGGTCGTCACATCCGGCCGCCCAGCCGTGAGCTCGCACATGACTCCCGAGTGGCTCAACGGAACCGAGTCGAAACTGCAGGCCGCTAACTGCGCGCGAGCCCGACCGTGAGATGATCAGGAGCATGCGCGAGTCGCTGCGGCTGCGCATGCAGCCGGCGCGCAGCGACGCTATCGGCATCTGCACGGTGTGCCAGGCCGCCAGCTTCCGCTGGGTGCTCGTCCCGTTCATCCACGAGCTCGCCCAGCGCGGGGGCCTTGCGCCGCGCCGCCAGGAGATGCCGGAGGGCACATGCGTCGACGGGGTCGTGCCCGCGGGGTGACAGCCGTGGGTGGTCTCGTACGGCTCGGCGGCGGTGGAGCACTTTAGCTGGAGCGGGGACAAGATCCGCGAGCTGTCAGTCACGGTCAAGGCTCACGGGGCCGTGCCGACAGACCCGGTCTTCTTGGATCACACGTCTCTCTGGCAGAGGGGGCGCACCCCGCCGTAGGTGTATGCGACGGCGAACGGCGTTGTCAACCGGATGGAAGACTACCGGCACGGCCGCGTCACACCCCAGCGATGACCAAGCCGCAGGAGATCAGCGTGTGCGTTAGGCGTGTCTTCAAGTGGGCTGGGCCGAGTAGATTGAACGGTAGGCGGAGGTGGCTCAGGAGGAGGAGGAGGTGGATGAGGAGGAAGGGAGAAGGAGGAGAGGGACGATGGGCGGATGTGGGGTGGAGGGCGTGAAGTTGGAGGGCCGGAGGATAAGGAGGAGGGGAAGGCGGATGAAGACCAGAAGGAGGAGGACGAGGAAAATGTTGGTGAGGAGAAGAATAATGGGGATGATATTGATGCGGAAAAGGGAGGAGGAAGAGATGGCGGAGGCCGAATGACAAGCCGCGCTGAATCCGCCAACGGGGAGGGCAGGCGGAAGAACGTGTGAGGATGGTGGTGGTGGATGATGATGCTGATGCTGGTGTTGATGCTGAGGATGAGGATGATGATGATGCTGCCGATGATGATGATGCTGATGGTGATTGCGATATCTGAAAGAGCGTGTTCTACCGCTGCTGGCGGAAAACCGGGGGGGGTCACTACCGGTTCGAACCCCTCCCCCCCCCCCCCCCCTCCGGAAAACCGGGGGGGGTCACTACCGGTTCGAACCCCTCCCCCCCCCCCCCCCCCGGACAGTGGTGGGGACGGTGTTGGTGGGGACAGTGGGAGGGGACAGCGGGACGGGACAGTGGGGGGACAGTGGGACAGTGGTGGGGACGGTAGTGGTGGGGACAGTGGTGGGGACAATGGTGGGAACAGGGGGGACAGTGGACAGTGGTGGGAACGGTGGTGGTGGGGACAGTGGTGTGGGGACAGTGGGAATGAGGTGGAAACACTGGGACAGTGGAGGGTACAATGGTGGTGGAGACACTGGTAAAGGCGGTGGCGAGGACGGCGGTGGGACAATGGGACAGAGGTACAGTGGGGACAGTGGTGGGGACAGTGGGGACAGTGGTGGAAACAGTGGGACAGCTCAGTGGGACAGCGGAGGAGTCAGTGGGACAGTGGGGACAATGGGGATAGGCAGTGGTTGGGTCCGTGGAGACAGTGGGGAGAGTGGAACCGTGGTGGGAACAGTTGTGGGAACAGTGGGGACAGTGCGACAGTGGTGGGGGCATTGGTGGGGACAATAGGGACGGTGGTGGAACCAGTGGGGACAGTGGTGGTGAGGACAGTGGTGCTGGGAACAACAGTGGGGGATGTGATGCGAGCGGTGGTAGGACTATGTTTCGGACTATGTTATTCCGGACGGCCCCCGGGGGGTCCCCGAGGGGCCGGGCGACTCCCCGGCGCGGGACAACATCCGCCCCCTGGGCCTTCGGCTCCCGCGCCTTGGGGAGCCGGGGGGCGCCGCTGCCCCAGGGGGTACCTTTCACGGGGGAGCGCGGCGCCCCCGTCCGCCAAGGGGTGTGGGATGGGCGCGTCCGGTCCCCCCACAACGCCTCAGCCGCGGGTCCGTGTGGCCGCGAGGGGGGCGGCCCCCTCCCACAGCACCATCTCCCACCCCGGGCTCCCCAAGCGAAGGGAAGCGCGGAGGGGAGGGGCGGGGGGGAGGAGGCGACCATCCTCTGCGGCACCGTCGGGGCGCTAGCGTCCGCGCCCCGCGTGGCCGAGTTCGGCCGGAACTGGGCCACGCGCCGGGCGAGCGGCGGCGCCCTCCCCCCCGCGCGCCGGCACCCCAGCGGTACCCCCCCGAGCCCCCAACGAGAAGAGGAAAAGGAAGGGGAGGTGGGGGTGGGCGGCCCTCCCCTGGGGCCCGCGGCCCCGTCAGCGCTCCCGTCCGCGCCCCGCGTGGCCGAGTTCGGCCGGAACTCGTCCACGCGCCGCGCGGGCGGTGGCGCCCTCCCACCAGCGCGCCGGCCCCCCAACGGCCATCCCCCCGAGCCCCCCGCGAAAAGAACCAAGGGGGGGGAGGAGGGGAGAGGGCAACCAGCCACTGGGGCCCGCGGCCCCGTCAGCGCCCCCGTCCGCGCCTCACGTGGCCGAGTTTGGCCGGAACTCGGCCACGCGCCGCGCGGGCGGTGGCGCCCTCGGCCGGCCCCCCAGCGGCCCCCGGACGCGGGGCAGCCAGGCCACGCGCCGCCGGGGTCAGCCGTGACCCCCGCGATGCGCCCACCGCTCCGCCAAGGAGCGTGGAGCGCCGCACTGGGGTTACCGCCCACCTCCCCGGCGCCCGCGTGGCCTCGCCAGTCAAGTCCTGCACCTCCCATCAGGCAGTGAGGGGGCCAGGCCGCCGCCCCCCCCCCCGTCCGAGCCCCGCCCGGCGCCGGCGGGGGCGGCCGGGGGCTACCTGGCGCGGGGTGCCACGCGCGGTCAGGAAGTGCCGACGCCCCAGGGCGCGACTGGCGACCGCGCGGGATACTCGCGCCAGGATCCCCCCCAGCCTCTCCCGGCGGCAGCGACCCGGAGAGCCCGGGCCAGGGCGCCGGCGACGAGGCGCAGCAGAGGAGGCCGGGGCGGGGGAGCGCAGGGGCGAGACGGCGGGGCGGGCAGGCGGATCGTTACCGTTTCTCCGGGTGCCGCGTCCGCGCACTGCGCCCCCACGTCGCCCCACGGGCGCCCCCCGTCACCGCCGCGCCGCCCGGTCAGCCCGGCCCAAGCCTTGGCTCACCACCCCTGCGGCCCCTGGCAGCAGAGAGCGCCCGCCGCGCGACGCGCCGCCGGGCCAGCGGGCACGCCGCGCCGCCATGAGCCTGGCCCAAGCTCCGGCTCCCCCGGCGCCTTGCACGCCCCGCGCCGGCCGACGGCGGCGATTCGCACCCTGCACTGCACGAACTCGAGTGTCTAGACAAGTCGCCACGGCCCACGCCACCTCCGCGCCCACCTGGCCGGAGGGGCGCGCCGGGCCCCGTGGCGCCGCATCCCCACGCCGTGAGCCTGGCCCAAGCCAAGGCCCCGCGACGGCGGCGCCACGCGCTGGTGGGCGGGGCGGCCGCCTCGGCCGCTAAGCGGCCGGGCCTACGGCGTCCGCCCCCAGGCGCCTCGCCGCCGCTGCCCCCCGCTGCAGCCAGGCCGCCACGGACGGCTGGCCTGGCGGCGGCGCCGCCGCCGTTGGGATGAACGAGCCCGGCGACGGGCTCACCTGGTTCACGGGCCCGAACGCTGCCACCCAGCGCGCGGCGTACTCGGTGATGTTGAGCTTGACGGCCTTCACGACGACCTGGATCGTGGTCGGCGACCACTGCACGGAGGCCCCCGTGTTCTTCTTCAGCGAAGACCGGGACGGGATGCGGAGGCGCAAAACCAGGAGGCGGCTGTCCCCGCCCTTCTCCGCGCTCCAGGCGGACGCCGCCTGGCGGCGCCAGGGGCGGCCCGCCTCCTCCTCGAGGATCTGCGCCGGGATGGGCGGCCCGGCGGGCCCGTGGAAGTCCCGCAGCCTCTCCGCCACCGTTCTCGCGTCCGGGACGGCGAGCTTGAACTGGGCATCGAAGCTCACCGACGAGCCCGGGATGGCCGGTTTGACGCCCGCCGCCGCGCTGGACAGCCGCGTGACCAGGTCGCGGGCCATGGCGCGCGCATCCTCCGCCGCCTCTGCCGGAGCCGCCGCGGGCGCGCCCCCGGGCGCACCAGCCGGGGGGGGGCCGGCCTCGGGGGGGGCCAGGGGCGCCCCAGTCAGCGTGGCCAGGAACCTTTCCAGGGCCTGCTGCAGCGTGTAGCCCGCGATCTCGATCAGCTCGATGTCAGCGCGGACGGCCGCGACGAGCTCTTCCACGCCGTCGTCGTCAGGCTCCGCGTCACCCGTCACGGCGGGGGCCGCCGCCGGCGCGCCCGCCCCGCCCCGGGCGGCGGCGGCGGCAGGTGCCGCCTCCCGCGCGACCACAGCACCTCCG